ACGGTCAGACGGGTGACTCCACCGAGCTGATCGACGCCCTGGAGAGGCACATCCGACCGCGACTCTGGCAACGGGCAGCGCGACACTAGAACGGGCCAGGCTCCGAGCACGGCGTCGACAATACTGGCCTCATGGGCGACGCGCAGAACACGAGGCATTTCTGGCTGCGGCTTGCGCGGGTGCATGGACAGCTGAACGGAAGAAGGGCATCGGCATTGCAAGCGCACCGTGCGCGCGCGGCCGCGACGAGTGACGAGTCCGACTTCCACCGCATCTGGGGCGACTGCAGCAGCCGCAACCACAACAAAGCACACGAGAGCTCCGAGTCACTTATCCGACGGGCAGACGCCCGCGCCGACGCTGCGCCTTGCTCCTGGCTCCGAGGCTTCGCCTGCCCAGGCCCCTGCTCCACTCCTGCCGGCGAGGCGCGTATAGGTGATGCTACAGGCGACCGCAGACTCCGAGCAGAAGGCGACGAACCACTGGTTATCTATGGCGACGGCAGCGGAGGCGAACGGTCAGGCGACATCCGGCACATGAGGCGCGGCCGGGCATGGGCCAGACTAAATTTGGGAGCCGACGGAGAGCCCCACCTCGCAGCCGGCAAGCGAGGCCCACTACCAGGGCCAAGACGGAGCAGCAACATAGTAGAAGTATTGGCATTCTACAATTGTATCACGAGCACACAAGGCGACCTGCAGTTATGGGCCGACTCCGACGTGCCAGCAGCAGGATGGCGAGGCAAACGTCACCAAGGACCTTTCTCTCAGGGCTCCAACGCCGACATCCGGCACGACATCCACAGCGCGCTGCGCGACAGAGACGGCACCGTCGGCAGCTTCAAGATCGAGAGCCACCTGGCCCCAGACGAAGCCTTTGCGAGGATTCCCCAAGCACGCCTGGGCAGACAACCGCCTAACAGACACACTCGCAGAACAGGCAGCTGCGGGCCGCAGCATCAGCCACAGCCAGCTGGACTGCTACGACTGGATCAGAGCATCAGCGGTGAGGGTGCGCGACAGGATCTGCGAAGCCACGCGAGAAGCGTTCGAGACACGACCACCCACGCCAGCATCGCGACGCCAGCAGCGAGCCGATGACCGCACCGACGACCACGCGGACAGACCGACACCACTACCCACCTTGGCGACAACATGCCCCCACAACGTACTTCGGGGATCGACGCCGGCGCGCTGGGAGCGCCAGAATTGCCGCCAGTCGGCCGCCAAGACTGGAGCCAAGTACATCGCCAGACAATGGATGGCATCGAAATGCGCCGGCCATGAAGCCTCGGCTCGGCCACGGCGAGGCATTCTGATTGGCGGCGACTGCACCCGCCCCTCGCGCCGCGTGATCTACAGCGACGGCGAGCAGAGGTGGTTCTGCGTACTCTACGCAGGGCGCGCCAGCCCAGGGCAGAGAGGATGCCTAGGAGACCTTCTGCGTGAACCGTGCACGGGCAAGCCGGCGACGCCATCCGCCGCGCGCGTGTTGAGCAAACTGCTGATGGGAGCCAGCTGGGACAGGGTTCTAGACGATACTACTCCGTTAAGGTCTGCTGCAGCACGACGGGCAAATCCGGGTGCCCCGCGCGCCCCGTGTGAGGGCGCAGCGAGACTTGCAAGGGCGGCGGATGCGATGCTGTTATCTGCCCGACGGCACGGCACAACCCCTTCGGTGCCAATTTTATCTGCCCGACGGCGCGGCACAACGGCGGATGTGATAATTTCATCTGCCCGACGGCGCGGCACGACCCCTCCTGCGAGGATTCTACATGCCCGACGGCGCGGCGCATGGGTTTCCGCACAAGTACACTGCATGCTGCTGACCTGGGCCCCGCGGACATGACGGACACGCTGCGCCGCCAGAGCTGATGGGCAGCTTCGTCATTTACGGGGCCGACGACTCGCTGAGCAAGCTCTTCGGGCGCCCAGACTGCGCGCTCGACATCGAGCTTCAGCGGGACCTGAACGCCACGGAGGGCTACTCGCTGAACAGCTTCGGGCGGCGGGGTCGACATGTAATTAACCCACCGCCCGAAGCGGAAGTTGAAGCCGCGAATCTCTTCGAGAGCGACGACTTCCCGGGGTGCTTCTGACCGCCGGCCTCGGCCTCGCTCTCGAGACGCTGGGCCTCCAGACGTCCCCCGACGAGGCCTGGAGGGCGGCCCGGGGGGCGGCCTGGGCCCGCGGGCCGCGCGGGGGCCGCCGACGCGGGGGCCGCCCGCGGCCGCGGGCGACGTTGCGACGTCGCCGCGATCCGCGCCCCCGCGCCCCCCGCCGCAGAGGGGGCCTTCCTGGGGCCCCCTCCAGGACCCCTTCCCCCAACAGGGCCCCCCCCGCGTCCTTCCTGTCCACGAGGGGGTGTTCCTGGGAGGGGGAGGGGGGGGTGAGGGGGGGGGGGCTGCCAAGGCCCTGGGGGCGGGGGGGGGCACAATCTGACCCGGGAGCGCCCCCGTGCCCGCTTTATAACCGTAAGTCGGGTACGCCCCTCTACGAGAATTTTATGAAATATAATCAAACATAGTACGGGGGCGCTTTTGCTATTTTAAAAAATGCTTCGGAGTATTATGTTGATATTTATTTTTCTTTCACAGCCCGCCTGTAGGAGGACATGCCCGACCTAATCCTAATCCCCCTCTCCGCAACGCCCCCCCCCCCGTGCCCCCGGTTCCCTCTGCCCCCCTTCCGTCTGGGAGGGGAAAAAAAGGCAGGGAATCGACTCAATTACGACGTTTTTATTTTCCCCTACCCAGGGTCAGCCTAGAAGGGTTCTTACTCGGTTTGCTTAAAGGGGCGGGCAGTGCAAATCGCCCCAAGCGGCCCCCCCGGTCCCCTGGGAGCGGTTCCCCCAGTCCCCTGGGAGTTTTAGCTTTAGCTTTAGCTTCAGCTTAGCTCTAACTCAGCTTAGCTTTTAATTTGAGCTTAGCTTTAGCTTGGCCTTAGCCTTGCTTCAGCTTAGCTTCGGCACAGTTTTAGATTTAGCTTAGCTTTAGCTTAGCTTTAGCTTACGTTTAGCTTAGCTTTTAGCTTAGCTTTAGCTTAGCTTTAGCTAAGCTTTAGCTAAGCATTACTGTTACTACGAATGCTGGTTTCCTAGGGGTTCCGACTCCTAGGTAGGGTCGCACTGGGATTATTTGTCTTTGGTTTATCGGTTCGTGTTTACAGTTTTGGAAAGACTGGCGGCGACGACGAAGACGACGACAGCGTCTCACGCACGCCGAGGGGTCGGCGGATCTGTTGCAGGGCGCTGTTCGTTGTTGGCCATGCCGTTCACGACGCATTCAGACATCCTTTTGTCTCGGGGTCGATTTTGCCTGTGCAGCTTTGAAAACGTCCACGGGCAGCTTTGGCACTCCGTGCGCGCGGCGCCCGTCTTGATGCTCGCGCTTGTGGCCTCCAGCGCAGGGGGGGCGTGCGCATGGATCCTGCTGCGCGAAGGCTGCAATCGCCCCTCCTCCAAGGGAGGGGGAGAGAGGGGGGGAGGGAGGGAGGGAGGGAGGGAGGGAGGGGGGAGGGAGGGAGGGAGGGAGGGAGGGAGGGAGGAGGAGGAGGAGGGAGGAGGAGGAGGAGGAGGAGGAGGAGGAGGAGGAGGAGGAGGAGGAGGAGGAGGAAGAGAGGGGGAACAGTTTGAAGATGCGTTTTCTTGGGTGACTCGATGCGGTCTGGGGTCCACCTAGAGATTATTCGAGGGTTCTAGGCCCTCCTCCCTCTTCCCAGCTCCCCTCCTCTCGTTCTCCCTCGTCTCCATCCTCCCCGTCGCCTTACCGCGCGGCGCTCGCGCTCGCGCTGGACCGGCGTCCCGCCGATCTCCGCCGAGGGACACGAGGAGGGCAACTGCGGCTGCGGCGACGCCGGCAGCTGCGGCGACGGCGGTTGCCGCGATGGCGGCGGCGGCGGCGACTGCGGCGGTGACAGCGGCTGCGACGGCAGCGGCGGCGACGGCGGGCACGCCGACTGGCGAACGGCGGTGACACCGAAGGCGGCGGCGACGGCGGCAGCGAAGGCGGAAGGGGGCACCCGGGCGCTCCAGGGGGGGCGCAGGCAGACCGCACAGGTGGCCCCGGCGTGAAGTGGCGCCGGTGCTCTTCTGAGCGAGGGCCAGACTGCTTTCCACCTCCTCCTCGTCCTCCTCCTCCTCCTTTTCCTCCTCCTCCGCCTCCTCCTCCTCCTCACGGGGCCCACATAGGGGGCCCCCAGCGGGCTGCCAAGTGGCGTGAAGAGGTCGGGGAAACCTCGGGCCAGGAACACACCTGCCAGCTTCCGAGCCGCGGCACCTGGGTATTGTTCTTAGGGGCCATGGATGCGCGCGACGGCTCGCCTATGGCAGGTTGGCTGGGGCGCCGCTTTTGTTTTTTGGGGATCTTGTCCCCCGAATGCTGGCCCTCCTCGTGGCAGAGAGCTTGGCACGGCACGTTTCGTTGCCAATAGGTCGTTGCCGGGGGGGAGAGAACAACAACAAGAAAAACAACAGGCTATGTCTTACAGAGGTTGTGTCAGCGAGTTCTGTCGTGTTCATCGCGAGGTTTCTGTTCTACGGTGCCGGGTGTCCGGGGATCTTTCGGTTCGTTCTGGATCGCATTCGCTGCGGATTTCGCGGCGAAGGATGCGGTTGTGATAGCAAATGTCGTTTCTGCTGCCAGTTTTTGGCGGCGCTCGCAGTTGGGCATTGCCCCAACCAGTAAGGTGCCATGCCCCGGCGTGCTATGAATAGCGCTACTATGCGGGGCGGATGGGTATCCTTCCTGCTCCTTCTCTCCTTTTTCCCTTTCCGCCCATTGCCGCTCTGTGGATGCTACAACTCCTCCACGCGTTGTCCTCCTTCTCCCTCTCCTCCTCGGGGGGGGGAGGAGGGGGGAGGAGCGAGCCCTGTATGACGAGGACGACGGCGACAGCGGCGACGCCGCAGCTCCGCGCTCGGAGCCTCCCCCCTGCGGCCGCCCCCGCCCCTCGCCTTCGCGCCGAGCGCGCGCCGAGGGCGCGCCGAGCGGGCGCGGCGGCATGCAGCGGAGCGCAGCCTTCGCCGCCAGCGCCCCCCCGGCGGCCCCACGCTGGCCCGCGGCCGCGCTGGGCCGCCGCGAGCCGGCGGCGGCGGGCGCCGCGGGGCCCCGCCGCGGCCCCGGCGCCTGGCGCGCCTGCGCGGCGGCCTGCGCGGCGGCGAGCGGCGCGGCGTCGGGGGGCTGCGCCGCGCGGGTGCCCCGCGGCCGGCGCCGGCGCGGAGGGCGGCGAGGCGGCGGGCCGCGGCCGCCGAGCGCGAGCGGCAGCAGCGGGCGCCGAGGTCGGGGCTCCAGCGCTAACGGTAGAGTCGGGCGTGCCCCTCTACAGGAGGAATATTCAGAAGCAGGCAAAACATAGTCTGGGGTCGATGTTTTGACCATTTGGGGGTATTTTCAGTGCATTTGGGGAGTATTTGTCATTCTTCGTCCAAGATCCGCCTGTAGGGGGACACGCCCGACCTGAGGCTAACGGGAAGTCAGTCAGCAGTCACTGGGCGCGGTCCAGTACTCGCAAAGTGCCTACTCGCAAACGTCGGACAAAACAACAACATGTCTTCCTCTATGCAAGCGGATTTGTGCCATTTGCGCGTCGCCACTTTGCGAGCAGTGGAACGCGTTTGTCGAAACAGGGGACAGCGCTGACGGGGAGGCAGCGCTGACGGGGGTCAGCGCAAACAGGGGTCAGGGCCAGCAGGGGTGAGCGCTGACGGGGGGCAGCGCTGACGGGGGGCAGCGCCAGCAGGGGTCAGCGCTGACCAGGGGCAGCGCTGACCGGGGGCAGAGCTGACGGGGGTCGCCGGGGGCAGCGCTGACGGGGGGCAGCGCTGACGGGGGTCAGCACCAACGGGGGACAGCGCTGACGGCGTTGAGCGCCAACAGGGGTCAGCCCTGACAGGGGGCAGCGCTGACGGGGAGCAGCCCATCCCCTCTGGCCGACCCGTGCTCGGAGCCCCTCGCGTCGCGAGAGAAGCTCGGCGGGAGGTCTTGATGCGGTTTTCGGCCCGGAGGAGCCCTCGCTGGTCCTCCGGACCGTCGAGCAGCAACTCAGGAGAAAGAGCCGGTCCTGGGGACGGGGCCCAGACCTGTGGGGCCCGCGTCATGTACAGGGGGGGCCCATGCCAAGAAACACGAGACACCCTGCTTGCCTCCAGGGTTTCTTGGGTTTCGATGGCTCTGCTGTGGAACGCGTGGCGTTCCCACGCCAAAAGTCGATGGACGTCCTGGGGTCTCAGGGTTGGGTTTTTTGTGGAAGGTTTCTTGTGGTCGGGCCCCCACTGTACAAGATCACGACGTCGGGCGTCTGGGCGTGGGGCGTGGGGCCGATCCCCCCTTTGCTACCCTCCGCTGGCCGGGGGCTCTGGGAGCTATACAGAGCGGCCGGCTGGGCCTCGCGACGGGGCTCCAGCCGACCTGGGTGTGCATATGGCCTGGGCTACATATACACCCCACAAGGAAAGGACGGGCCACCTCCCCAAGCGTACACTTCCATCCTTCCCTCCTCGGCACACCCTTGGCCATTTGCGTTGGCCGCGCCCCGCTTGAAAAGCTTCGATATGGGCGTCCAAGGCCCTTGCATCCTTTTCGCGCATCCTTCTGCTACGGGCCGACTCTAGTGGTTAGTTCAGGAGGGGAAAGAACACACGAATAATCGTCGATTCCCAGAAATAGAGGGAAGATTTGGGAAGTGGGGGGGAGGACGAAAACCCAGAAAATAGTGGAAACTATAGGGGAATCCTGGGCTTTGCGTCTATTTGTTTGTGTCCCTGGGCCCCTTATTGGTGCGTGCCCGACGAGGGTGAAGCTGGCGGACCGCTTCGGGCGCCTGGAGGGCAGGGGCAGGCTGGACGAGGCCGAGCTGATCGAGCGGTCTCGCCACGTGCTGGTCGCGTACGCGTTCCGGCCCCGCGAGGGGCACGACCTCGCCGCGGCCGCCGTGCGCTTCGCTGCCGAGGCCTCCACCGGCACGAGCGGCGCGACGGAGGATCAGGACTCGCGGGACTGGACAAGTGCGCTCCACTACTCGCAAGTGGCCTGGATCCGCCGCCGGGAGGGGGGCACGATGAATTGCAAAGCGGAGGCCTGGTTTTCTCAGACGTTTGCGAGTAGGCACTTTGCGAGCAGTGGAACGCGCTCGTCTTGGGACGGGGGTCAATGCAAACGGGGGTCAGTCAGAGCGCCGGATCTTCCAGGATCCTGCAGAGCCAGGGCTGCATTGACCCAGGCCAGCGCGCAGGAGTGCAGGGTCCTGCAGGACCTTGCGGGATCCTGCAAAGAGTCTGACTGACCCGGGTCTGCATTGATCCGGGTCAGTAGATCCTCGAGAGGACGGATGCTGGGAGAGTTTCGCCGAGTCGCTCAACGCCCTGGTGTACCACGTCGACCCTGCCGCCGAGGAGATTCGGATCGCGTTTAACGTGGCGGTGTTCGATCGCAACATCACCGACGGCCGCGCCTCCGCCTCGTCGCTGCTCTCGATCGTCACGGGCGCCGCCGCGGAGCTTCCCGAGGTGGAGCTCTGCGAGGCTCGCCGTGTAGCAGAGGGGATCCCTCCAAGGATGGGGTAGATCCATATCTTAGTGGAACGAACAATGACATAAACATAAAAACTCTGAGGTCCACGCGGATTCCTCGGATCGGGCCGATCCGAGAAATCCGTGCGGACCTCGGAGTTTGTGCCTTTGTGGCATTGTTTGTTCCCCTAGATCGCCTGGGAAGCCGATCTCCTTGGACCTCGGGAGGTGGTTGGCGTGAGCATACTCGGGCCTCCCTGGGGTCCAAGTGCATCCAAAACTCCGCCGCCCCCTTTGGTCCCAGGCCATCGGTGTTCCCCAGGCGGCGGATGCGGAAGAGTCCCCACCTCACAGCTTCGGCGAGCGAGGGGGGGAAGTGAGAAAATCTGTTCAGAGAGGGGGTGACAGCAAATCCGTTCAACATCGGCCACCGGACCCCACCCGGGGTAAAAACTCTCCACCTTGTCGTGCATGCGTTCAGGCGTGGCGGCGACGGGGCCCCTTGCTCTCCCACTCCTGCTGGCCAGAGCCGACGGCTGCGCCGCCTCAGCCCCCCCCGTCGGCTCCAAGTTCGACTCGGCGGCGAGCAAGGGGGGAAGTGAGCAGGGGCGGACCCTCTCAGAGGGCTCGGAAGCCCCCCGGCCTTCTGAGAGGTTTCCTAAACCTGCCCCGGAGACGCAGAAAAGACTTCTCAGAAGGCGCGGGGGCATCTGAGGAGACCCGCCGCCTTCCGAGATACTAAGAGGCCGCGGGTATGGAGCGCACTGCACAAAAGCAGGAGGCTTCGGAGGTCCGCGGGATTTCTTAGGTTGAGGCCCTTTCCCGATGCTTGGCGGCGCCTCTGACGCCGCCCCCTGGCGCGCTCCTCGCCTCGGGAAGAGGTATGTAGGGGACCGGCGCCGACCCAAGAATTCCGCATGGACCTCCGGAAACATACTCGTCATATTTGCCCGCGATGTCCGGGCTGCGGGGGGTGGGGAGGCCCTCCCGGGAGCTCTGGCAAGACAGCGCGATCTCTGCCGCAGCGCGGCGCCACAGCTGCGAAGCAGCACTGCGATGCCCTGTGTGGCCACGGCATCTGTGCTCATGTGCTCTGTACTCATCTCTGTCAATCCCCGTGTTTTCTGTTGCTCTGGGAGTGGAGCGAGGAGGGAGCAGGGAAGAGAACTACTGCCTCGGCCCCTTTCACGCCACCTCTGCATATTCAGGAGGTCCGCTAACGAGTCGCGGAGGGTGTTCGGGTGGGAGTGCATGCCTGGGGTGGGCGGGTCGCCGGCCTGCGCGCGAGCAGGCGTTGTCCCTCCTCTGCGAAGTGCGCTTTTCTTCGCTCGTCCCGCCCGGCGGCGCAACGCATTGCGCGTTTGCCCAAGGTGGTTCCAGATTGCGCCTTGGGAAGGGCAAGCCTTCGCAGCTGCGCGCACCCCCGCGCCCGTTCCCGTTGCTCTTTCTGTGCCCTTGGTTCGGGGACTCCAGCGCCAGGTCAGCCGCTGGGCACTTGACCGGCGGCGGTAAACATGTGTTAACGTATGCGCGCGTGTTGTGTGTGTGTGTGGTATGTGCGTGTGTGCGTACATGCGTGCGTGCGTGCGTGCATGCGTGTGCGTGCGTGCGTGCAAGCGTGTTTACGTGTGTGTGTGTGTGTGTTTGTGTGTGCGTGTGTGTGTTTGTGTGTGTTTGTACGTTCGTGCGTGCGTGCGTGCGCGCATGCAAGCACGCAAGCAAGCAAGCAAGCAAGCAAGCGTGCGTGCGTGCGTGCGTGCGTGCGTGTGCGAGTGTGTGGGTGTTTGTGTGTGCGTGTGTATGAGTGTGTATGAGTGTGTGTGTGTGTGAGTGTGTGTGTGTGTTTCTTGCCCGAGTCGCTCCTCGCGGGCCTGGCAGCTGGCTCTGGAAACAAGCCCAGCCGCGTGCGATGGAAAGAAGTGTGCATGTGCGTGTGCGTGTGTGCGCGTGTGCGGATAAGGTCGAAGGACGGAGGGGGGCGGAGTGATGAAGGAGTAGAAGGAAGGGCAAGAAGTGCCATGGAGAGTGTCAGGTGAACGAGCAGGAGGGGGAGGAGGAGGAGGAGGAGGAGGAGGAGAAGGAGGAGGAGGGACAGAAGGAGGAGTGATGGATTGTGATGAGGGTCTGGGTGAGGAGGAGGATGGCAAGGCAGGTATGTTGGCGTTGCTTTTGCTTCGATGCCACTCCTCGTTTACGTCGTCGGAAGGCTTACAGGTACTGTATGTTGCTTCGCAAGGCCACGCCACCGATTCAGCCGTGCGCACAAGAATGTGCCAGTTGTGACATACTAGCTTGCTTTCGAACCTAGCTCGCCCGTTGACATCCACATTTGCACAATCGTCTCGCGATTCGATATCCCCCCCATCAACATCAAGACCATGGTACGGATGCATATCATCATCAAGGCTTCATTTTCAGCATTGCCTGTTCGGCCCAGCACATATTTGACCAAGTTTGCCTGCCACGTCCTGAGTTTTAGGACTGAGGCCCCTGCAATTGTTCGAACACATGGGTCAAGGATGTTGTGTCGTCTCCTTGCATCTGTAACTCCTGTGCTTGAAGAAATGCCGCCCGAGCGGCAATTCCGTGCGAGGTGCGCGACATCTTCCTGCCGCAGGGCTTCCTTCGCCTTTTCGACGGCCCTGCGCTCGGCTTGACGCACCTGCTGCGAAGCCTACGTCGCCCACCTCGCCTGGGAGTGCCGCGGTGCGGCGCATGATGGAAGGGGCAGCGGCATCGGAGGAGGAGGCAGAGGAGGAGGAGGAGGAGGAGGAGGAGGAGGAGGAGGAGGAGGAGGAGGGGGAGCAGGAGGAGCAGGAGGATGAGGAGAAGGAAGACGACGACGATGACGACGTCGAGGAGGAGGAGGAGGAGGAGGAGGAGGAGAAGCAGCAGGAGCTGGAAGACGAGCAGGAGGAAGACGTGAGCGGGAACTGGAGCCCGAGGAGCAGGGGGCAGGAGCAGCAGGAGCAGGGGCAGGAGAGGCAGGAGGACCAGCACGAGGAGGGGAAGCCCGTCGCAGGAGCCAGAGCGGGCGCAGGGGAGAGGAGGAGGCGATAGATCCTCCCGGCATGATCGAGGACGAGGCGATAGATCCTCCCGACATTATCGAGACCCCCCTGCCGCAGAGCAGACTGCGCCCTCTAGAGATGGAGGAGGAGGAGGAGGAGGAGGAGGAGGAGGAGGAGGAGGGGGAGGAGGAAGGAGGAGGAGCAGGAGCTGGAGGAGGAGGATGAGGAGGAGGAGGAGGAGGAGGAAGAGGAGGAGGAGGAGGAGGAGGAAGAGGAGGAGGCCTCCAGCTCTCCTTCAGGGCAGCGGGGTGTGGGGGGGCTTCGCCAGTGGGGATATTGTCGGAGGTTGATAGGCCTCCTACCCTGACACGTCGATTGGAGAGTTGGCCGTTTTCGGTTCGCGAGAGGGCGTCGCGGCCGTCGTTTTTGCGGGTCCAGGTCCGTCGGTTTCGGTCCCAGGCCGTTTTCATTAAGGGGAGGTTTACTAAAGGGAGGTTTGTCCACCGCCGACATTGCCAGATCCAGGTGGAGATCTCGCAGCATGCACGCAGAGAAGGTCGGCCTATTGCTGCGATTTTGTTCGGAGGGGGGCCCGCCTGCAGGTCCCGTGTATCTGGTGGTCCAGGTGGTTTCCCAGTAGTCTTTGAAGGGTTGGGTGGGCGCCGGGCTGACGCCTGTGGAGCCTCCTCGGAGCCCAATGTGTGTAGATCCATGAAGTTCACCCGAAGGGGTGCGAAGATGATCGCGCTTCGCGGTCTGAGTCCTCTTTCTCCGCCTCCCTCCCCTCTCTCCCCTCCCTCCTCCTTTCCGTTGCCCTTGATTTCCCTCCCTCCCCTCCCTTTTCCTCCCGCCCCTCCCTTTTCCCTCCTCCCCTCCCTCCCTCCCCCCTCCCTTCCCTCCCTCCCTCCCTCCTCCCTCCCTCCTCCGTCCCCTTTTCCCTCCCTCCCCTCCCTCCTTCCCCCTCCTCCTGCACTGGACCCCCCCCCCCCGCAGGATCCGACGGCGGCGGCCTCGTGCTGGGTGCCACGCTGCGGCCCCAGCTGGGGCTTCTGCCTGGCGAGTGCGGCCAGGCGTGTTCCTCGCCGTCGTCCTCGCCGCCGCCGTCAACGTGGCCGTCGTCCTCGTCGTTGTCGTCGTCGTCGTCGTCATCCTCCTCCCCTCTGCCCTGCTCCTCCTCGTATCCGAGTTCCTCGTCCACCAGTTGCCATACTCTCTCCGTTTGTTTTAGTGTTGGCGTCCTCCCGCCTAGGAGCCCCTTTACGCAGGGTCACTTGGTGCAGGAAACAAGATTGTCGCCAGCCTCGAACCTATCCCTATTCCTAAGATTGACATGCTCAAAGGAGACGACAACCTCATGGATGCACCCTCCGAAACTGAGGAAATCTTAGGCGATGCCCAACATAGGGATGGGGATATGTTCCAGGCTGGTAGGACTGGTGGCGGACCTGGGCAGCGAGCGAGGGCCGACGCGCGTCACCCACCAGGCGAGGCGCCGAGGCCGGTGTAAAGCTCGGGCGCCGCCAGCTGCGGGGGCCGAGGAATTTGGCCAAGAGCGCGCGCGGGGGCCGAGTGGCGCGGCGGAGTGAGGCGAGTGGACGGCTGCCGCCCGCGGGGCGGCTGCCGCCCGCGGGGCGGATGCCGCGTGCGCCGGCGCCCAGGCAGAAGCTGAGGCGGGGTCTGGGGCAGCTGCTGGCGGCGCGGGCGCGGGGGCGCCGCCCATTCGCGGCGTGGCTCCTGGAGCCGGGCAGGACGGTGCCAGGGATCTCGCTCCTGGCAGCGACGATCCAAGTGTGGCTCAAGCTTCTGAGCTCGGACGGAAGGAAGGGGCTACACCGCCGAAGCGCGAAGGGACCCGGGGGCCATTAGTGGCGCGATTGCGGTCGTTTCAACCCCAGGCACGTTGGAGGAAGGTGGTCTTTGGCGTCATGGGCACGGACGTCTCCATCCTGCCAAACACGGGCTGGACCCCTACAGAGCCTCTGGATTGGACCAGCCTTGAGGAAGGGGTAGATCAGCCACGCGTAGAGGGGGGTGGGGGGAGGGGGAGGGCTTCTTAGAAGCACCCCTGCTTCTTAGACGGCGCGGGCCTTATCTGTAGATACAGCGCCGCCGCCGTCTAAGAAGCAGCCTCCTTCTCAGAAGCCCTCCCCCCTCCCTCCAACCCCTTGTGCGCGCCGCCAAGTAGATGCCGCATCGAGGAGGAGCAATTCGGTGACGAGATTCTGGGCTGGGCGCCGCCCGTCACTGCGGTTTTCGGGGGGGGAGGTACGTGCGGCAGCGGCAGGGAGCTGCGCTGTGCTGCAGTGGGAAGGGGCGGGAGGACGGGGCAGACGTCGACGCGCCGACCGCGTGCACCAATGGGTTGGGCAAGCGAGGGCGTGACAGGCAAAATCGGCCGAGGGGGGCAGGGGGAGGGGGGAAGGCTTCTCAGAGGCAGCTCCGCTTCTCAGAAGGCGCGGGCCTCGTCCGCAGTCTGCAGGTGCAGGGCTGGCGCCTCCTGGTGAGCACCCTCCTTCCGAGAAGCCTCCCCTCCCGCCTCCCCCTTTACCCCCGCCTGCGCGCGCCGCCGAGCGAGGGCCTCGTGCAAGGTGGCAGCTGGGGTGGGGGGGCAGGGGCGCCCGCCGAGCCCGGCGCGAAGGCGCTCTGCCAGCTCCTCGTCGTCGTCCTCGTCGTCGTCGTCGTCCTCGTCCTCGTCGTCGTCGTCGTCGTCGTCGTCGTCGTCGTCGTCGTCGTCGTGCAGTGCGGCTCGGGCGCGCCCCGCGGAGCACGGCGGAACGCCTCGGGCAGCGGCCTCTGCCCGAGGGTGCGGGGCTGGCGTCTGGGGCAGTCGCCCACCAGGCACGGGCCTGCCCGTGCCGCGAGGACCACGAGGAGCGCGAGGCGACGAGCCACCCAGGAGAAGGGAGGAAAGGGATGAGAGGGAGGAATGGGAGGAGGAGGAGGAGGAGGTAGGAGGAGGAGGTAGGAGGAGGTGGGAGGAGGAGGAGGAGGAGGAGGAGGAGGAGGAGGTAGGAGAAGGGATGATGATGATGATGATGATGATGATGATGATGATGATGATGATGATGATGATGATGATGATGATGATGATGATGATGATGATGATGATGATGAGATGATGATGCGAGGAGGAGGAGGAGGAGGAGGAGGAGGAGGAGGAGGAGGAGGAGGGAGGAGGAGGAGGAGGAGGGAGGAGGAGGGGGGGAGTAGAAGGAGAAGAAGAGCGAGAGAAAGAGAGAGTGAGAGAGAGAGAAACAACACAAACAACACACATCAGAAACAGAAGATGAGAAGGAGGAGCGTAAGGGGTTCTTCTGCAAGACTCCACAAAGGGAGTACTTCTGCAAACTCTTACACAAGGACTTCTTTTGCCAGCCGCCACGGCGAGGTGGTGTAGCAAGCTGCATGGACGCCTTGCGGTTGGCTGCGCGGGCTCCTCCCGAAGGCTTGGACGGAGGTGGGCGAGGCCCCCGATGCACGCGAACTGTGCGCCATTGCGACCGAGGCCAGGGGCGAGCGACATGCCAGTGGATAGCGGCTCCCTGGTAGGCGTCTTTGCGGAGGGAAGACCGCGGTTTGCCAGGGGTGTTTCTGGGAAGCACAACCGCTTCAGGAGGTCTGCGTGGGGGTCGGCCGTCGTCAACCATGATGCTCTGTCGCGGGCGTGCGACGCGCGCTGGACAGCCGCGTGGGCGGGGCCAGGCAGGGAATCGACAGAGCGTTGCTGCCCGCCTCGGTGGAGACGGCGCGGAGGACTTCTGGCCGCGCCTTGGGTTTCATCGCGGACTGCGCGTACTTAGTTCAAGGCTTCGCGCGGCCTGGCTGGAGGCGCTACGTATGCACCGACCTGTCACGCGGACCTTCGGGGTGACCGCGACATGGCGCTCGTGAAAGTCGATGGCCGCGGGAGCCCAGCGGAACAACACGGAGGCGGATGGTGTTGCAGGAGCGGCGGCCAGTCGCCTTCCGCTGCCAGACGACGTCGTTGCGATCCTGGAGATGGAGCGGGGGACTTCGGACACCAGGAGAATGCTGACCGCCACCATGCGGGTGGCGGTGGTCGCGGACGGCCGCGGCTGGGTGGAGCGACCAGAGTGGGCGACCAGGCCGCGGCTCGTCATGACCAGGGGGGGGGAGAGCAGCCACCACGACGTAGGGAAGGGATGGCGGCACCGTTGCTGCCGGAGCGCGTGCCGCCCGAGGCGTGCGCGGAGATCCCCCGCGCGCCGCTGGTGGTGCCGCTGCGGCGCGGGAAGCTCCTCACCCTTCCCATCGCATTCGGCTCAAGAATGTGGGGAGGGGGGGGCGGGTCCTCGGGTCCTCGCATGCGCGGCGCGCGGCCGCCTGGGGGCCGAGCGCTGCCGCGGGCTCGCGCGGGAGCGCACCACCCCGACCAGGGCGGGGAGGTGGAGCCTCGGCCGCCTGGTGCGGGACTTCTCGCCGGGCCATGCGCGGACGGCCGAGGCCGCGAGCGCAGGCAGAGGCCAGTGGCACGCGCTCTGAGGGCGCGGCCGCGGGCGCGTGCTTGCGAGGCGCCCCTCCTCCTCCTCCTCCTCCTCCACCTCCTCCTCCTCCTCCACCTCCTCCTCCTCCTCCTCCACCTCCTCCTCCTCCTCCTACGGTGCCATTGTTGAGGTGGTTGTGGGTCTTCTCGGGCGAATGCTTCGATTGAGACTCGGGATTCGCAACGCAGTCTGAAAGAGGCCTCCCTCTCCTCATCTTCCTCCTGCTCTTCCCGCTCCCCATGTGGTCGAGGGCCGTTGGCTGACTAAATACTAAGAAGCTCGTTCCCCCTGCGGCCCCTGCCGATCCCGCCGCGTCGAGGCGTGCGCGGAGAAGTGGAGAGATGGCCGGCCTCCCCAGCGGCCCCCGCTGGGCGGCGCGAGGGGGGGAGGGCCAGGTTTGGGACCTCGAATAGGGACGAGGAGGAGAAGGAGGAAGACGAGGAGGGGGGAATAAGGAGGAGGAGGAAAGAGGGCAAGCTAGGTGCGCTCGCGTCATATCTGACGTCCTACACCTCCCTCCCATTCCTTACCATGGCGTAGACATTCTCTCTATTCGCACAGTCGGATGCCGAGCAGGGTAATGATCGCGAGAGGGTACGCGATGCATTGTAGAGTACGGCATGGCATGGCGTAGAAGAACACGTCAGAGCGTAGCATGTCATAGCATGGCGTGGCATTGCGCAGTGAAGCAGTGCATCACAAAGCATTGCAACGCAAAGCATTACATCGCACAGCGGGGCAGAACACAACACCGCACAGCACATCATGGCAATCAACAATTCCGACAATAGCCTAATGCATAAGTTACGATAGGCCCCGTAGACCTATGCGCAGGCTATCCATTGGGATGCAACTCCTGGGAGGTCAAATTATGATGTTGCACTGGTCCGAAGTCCGGCTTAATCCGGTTTGATCCCGCTTAATCCCGCTTAATCCGGCTTAATCCCGCTTACTGTAAGCCCGTATAGTACGGATGCGCGATAAGGGTGCAAGGGCCTTGGAGGCCCATTTCGAAGCTTTTCGGGCGGGGCGCGGCCAACGAAAGTGGCCGAGGCTGGACCGAGGAGGCAAGGATGCAAGGGTACCCTCGGGAACGTTGCCCATCCTTACTATGCGGGTTGATTGTAATCCGAGGCCGGCTCCGGCGTAATAGCTCCCAGATAATATTTAATCTTCCTTAATCTTTCCGACGAACACCTCCCAGTAGTTGTCTCCTAATATCCAGGGGCGAGTCATTTTTCGACCTACGTCTTGCTGTGCCCACGCTTCGAACACAGTCCCTCTCTCTCTCTCTTTTTTTGTTTCTCTCTCTCTCTCTCTCTCTCGGCCCACTTCTCTTCCTGGACGTGCTGGCCGCTGGTCGAACGATGCAATGTCGTGTCTGACACAGTCCTGTGCCTCAGCACTCTGTATCCAAATTCTCTGTAGTACTCCACTTGTACCTCTGAAGTGCCCCCTCCATTCGGCGTGTAAGTAGGGGCGAGCAAACCTAGTGTTGTCACAGCGTGTGAGAGGCGTTCCCAATCTGTGATGCTGATCGCGTTCCGTTGTCGTTTCGCGGGAGGGGTGCCATCCAGGATTGCACTCTAGTGGCTTTTTGTGGGGGCCTCGTTTTTCCACTCGTTCTCCCAGTGGTGGTGTACTTGTCGGCGCTCCATCACAATACAGAGCCGGTGCTCTGTGCGAGCTCCTCTCCCAGGGGTCCGCGCGCCGAGGTGCCCCCGCTAGTGGCGGTCCCTCTGAGTTCATCTGTCTCTGCTGGGGTTGTGCCGTCCTGTCTACCTGGGGTCCTCCGCCTCCTCCTCCCCCCCCTCCTCCCCCTCCTCCCCCTCCTCCTCCTCCTCCTCCTCCTCCTCCTCCTCCTCCGCCACCGCCTCCGTCTCCTCCTCCTCCTCCTCCTCCTCCTCCTCCTCCTCCTCCTCCGCCACCGCCTCCGCCTCCTCCTCCTCCTCCTCCTCCTTTTCCTCCTCCTTCTCCGCCACCGCCTCCGCCTCCTCCTCCTCCTCCTCCTCCTCCTCCTCATCCTCCTCCTCATCCTCCTCCTCCTCCTCCTCCCCGAGTGCGCGGGCCCCGGCCCGGACGGCCTGGGGGGCACAGGCCGTGCGCCCGAGGTCCTCAGCCCCGGCGCGCGAGCGAAATCCTAGACCTGGATATCCCCGCTAGTGCTCCTCCTGGCCGTGCAAGTGGGCGCCCTCACGCGCGGCCGTTGGAGTTAGCCGCTTCGCCTGACTCGGCGTACGTCTCGAAGATCTCGGTGCCGTCCAGCGGGGTGGTCGTGCTGTCGCGGAGCTCGCGGCGTGTCTTGAGCCTCTCGACCAGCCGCTCGAGATCCACGGCTGTCATCAGCTCTCTCTCTTTGCTATCTCCATGACGCTCTGTAGGTTATCCGTGTCGTTCTTCGTGCTCCGCAGCGCAAGCTCGCACCACCTGCGCGTCGAGAAGAACTTCCTGCCTGCTGTTTGCCACATGGCAACTGGGTACTTTGTAATCAGCTCGCAGCCCTTGGCTTGGTGCGTCATCGCGAAGGCAGTGGGATTAGCTCGCACAGTTCCTCTGGGCTCAGCTTCCGGGCCGCATCGTAGAACTCGTAGCAGTTCCTTTTCGTGGCGTCGTCGAGCGTTCGCGGCAGCCTCTCAGCTACGAACGCCTCCCATTTGTCGCCTGTTTTGAGCTCCACCACCATTGATGGCCCATCGCGGTGCAGGTGGAACCTCGACTTGCAGCCGATCTCGGGCCACTTCTTGAAGTCCTCTTGGAAGTCTTTCTTCACTTTGCCCACCCATTCTTTCATGAACTCGTCCTCGGGGAAGCTCTCCTGCGTCGTCACAAGCGCCTCCCAGTCCACTTTGCACCAGTACTTCCACTGCTCTCCCCTCGAGGCAGCGCTGGGGCCTCTTCGCCACATCTTGCTGGGGAAAGCCAGCCCGCACGAGTACGCGCAGTCTTTTTGTTGTTTCCCAGCCTGCGTTCCTCCTGCACGCGCGGAGCAGCTGCATGTTGTCGCTCCACCTGTCCACGAAGCCGAGCGCCTTGAGGTATTGTGGCTGCTCAGCACCCATGTTCTTGCACGTCTTGTAGTCGCCGAGTCCATGCAGCTCCTTCTCCTCTTCCAGCTCGTGCTTGGCTGTCTTCAGCGCTTCCTCGTCCGTCACGGCCATGAGCATGTAATTGCACAGCATGTCGTCGTATTTTTTCGCGCACTTCAGGGCAATCGCCATGTTCTCTCCTGCGTTGCTGAAGGCCGCGAACCCGTTCATCTTGATGCCCCCACCAGGGCATCCGACATCTCGTTGGACCGCTCGATGACCTTTTTGTTCCTCTGGTTCCACCACCCTCTCCAACTCCGTCTTGGGCGCCGTCGACTGAGACTTGCCGCCCACGAACACGATCAGCATCTCCACTGCCTTCTTCAGGTTGTGGCCAGAGAACTTGTCTAGCTTTTCCACCGTCTCGTTCGTGCCATTCGGGAGCGCCGCTCGGAAGTTGGGGGTCGTGTTGATGCTGATCTGGATCTTGCCTATGCCCTCCTCCCAGAACTGCTCGTCCTCGTTCGGGTTCGTGTTCTTGCTGTTGCGAGCCTTGTAGTTCTCGCTGACCTTGCACAGCTCGATCGTCTCGGTGACCGTGGCCCGAGGACAGTCCGAGGAAGGAGGCGGAGGACCGGACTGGATCGAAGCTTGCGAGAGGGCTCCAGCTGGAGACATTGCCAAAGGAAGCTTCTGTAGATCCACCACGGAGCCAGACCTTGACTCAGACAGAGCTCCTCCTCCTCCTCCTCCTCCTCCTCCTCCTCCTCCTCCTCCTCATCCCTTCTCCTACCTCCTCCTCCTCCTCCTTTGCAGTCTGCCTGGGCGCAGGCCGCTCAGCGTGCCGCGGGGTCGGCAGAGAAGCCGACCCCTGGAAGCGGGGACGGCCCCTGGGCGGACGTGTCGGCTCTCGGCCCGCTCTTCCCCGGGTCGACGAGGGCATCGATCGTCGACTCCTTAGAAAATATAGGAAAAAGCACAGAGGAGAACGAGGAGGATCGAGGAAATATAGGAAAAAACACAGAGGAGAACGCGGAGGACAAAAATATAGGGAAAAACACAGGAAAATATCGTTCATCGATCGTCGATCGTCGAGGAGAAAAGACACAGACACAATGAATCGTCGATTCCTTAGAAAATATAGGAAAATATGGGCAGTGGGGGGGGGACGACAGACACCCAGAAGATATGGGAACATATGGGGAATCCTTTTATTTGTGTGTAGTTATTTGTGTGTCCCAGGGCCCCTTCAATCGAACACCCAGGGCTCTCCGGCTCGAGATCGCCATGGGCCAGCGACGTAACAGAAAAACGAAGGTCTGTCAGAGGGCAGGGCTCGAGGAGGCTAGGTCGATTCGAGGTGAGTCATCGACGTGCGGGGGCCAGGGAGGGTTGGGCGGGGCTTCCTCTGGGGGATTGTGTCAGTTGTTGTGTGTCGTGTCAAGCTGTTGTTTCGCAATCCGATAAAATCAGGCCATCCCGTGCTGATTGATCGCTGGCAAAATGTGTGGGGGCGAGCTGGCTGGCGGGAGCAGAGGTATTGTTCTTTGGCGACCTCGCGACTTCGAGTGCGTCCGCTTGCCGCTACAGCTTGGCTTGTGCGCTTGCGAAGCCGACCCGCCATGAGCGCCTGAACCGATGGTGCCATCGATTTCCGTCGGCAGGATTGGCCACCCCCGGGCAGGTCCGCGCTGCCTCCACACCGTTGTGACGCGGGCGTGCAAGGTTGAGCACCCTCTAAGGGGGGGCTCCTTGGAGCGACACCCCGCGCGAAGGGTGCGGTCGGCAGCTTTTGGGGGCCTCCCTGCGCGGAGGTCGTGCAGGAGGGCCGGAAGCCAGGGCCCAGGTCGCCAGGGCAGGAGCTTCGGGGCGCGCATCAAGGAACCATGTGCTTATCGTCGGGGTCTCCTGGGTTTCTTCGCTCCTCGCGCTGCGCGGTGACTTCCCGCGGCCGTTGAAGGAGCTGCTGCGTTCAGGGTGCTCTGGGTTTCCCCTGAGGTGCACCTCGCGCGCGGGTTCTCAGGGTTGGGTTTCTTGCCAGGGTTTCTTGCGGCCGCGCCCGCACTGTACGGTAGGTTCATGCGGCGTTGGCGCGCCGTCGACGCCGGCGAAGGCGTGCAAGGATGAAGTCTGTGAGGCGGGAGTGCCCAGGGACACGGTGACGCCACAGGACCCGACGTAATTCGACCTTGAACGAGCGGTTTCCTTTGCGGATGTTCTATTCCATTCCAATCGCAAGTGTTTTGCACCCTTACCTTATGGCATCGACTGTAGCTGACATGCCTAAGGTTTCGACTACGTCCACCTGGGCCCCCTGCAGCGGAACCAGGTCTCGGCGCCACTGGACCGCGTGATACCCGAGGTCGTGTCTGCGATGCGGAGCCGAGGGCAGGCGGCAGAGAGGAGGAGGCGGGGGATTACGAGCGCATTGCCTGAGGGTTGCGATGCGCTGTGCTTGCCTTTAGCCCGCAGGGGGGCAGCTGTATGCACGACATCCATCCCCGGCTGGGGCCATCCTGGGCCCCAGGTAGATGTATCTTAGTATATGCAATGAACGTATGTACACCAACCCAAGGCCCAGGATGGTTTTGACCAGGGATTATGGTGGTGTAGGTTCGGTTATCCTAGTTCGTACACCACCCTCTGGTGATAAGGTTGGCGGGGGTGAGGAGCAGTGCCAGACGGTAGCAGCAGGTAGCTGGTAGATGGTACACATGTGATCGCAGAATGCAGATGTACGAGATACAGCGTATACCGAGCAAGCATGGGACAACCCACGAGACAGCCATGACGGACCACCGCGAGACGGACGGGGCGGAACACCTCAGACTGGGCCTTTGCATTGCCCGACGCGCCATCGCCGTCGCGCAGCCTCGCCTCGCCCGCACCGACGACACGAACCGAAATCGATGTCCTGATTGGGGTCACTGTCCTCGCACCCCAACCTCCGATGTGGAGATGTACTCGCCCTATGGGCGGCGGTGGACAACAGCTTAACTTGAGATGTTTCCCTGCCAGGCGATGTGCCGATGGAGCCGTCGAGGAGGAGCAGCAGCAAGGGGATGAAGGGGGAGCAGGAGAAGGAAGACGAGAAGCAAGCGAAGGATAAGGAGGAGGAGGTGAGGAGGAGGAGGAGAAGGAAGACGAGACGCAAACGGAGGAGGAGGAGGAGGAGGATAACGAGGAGGAGGAAGAGGACCCCATAAGGAATACGGAGGAGGAGGAGGAGGAGGAGGAGGAGGAGGAGGACGACTCCATATCGGTCACAAAGGGGCATTGGGGGATTTGAGACCTTCAGCCCCCCCCCGCAATGCTTCCGAGAACACACCAGCACGTTCGCCCCCAACCCGCCCACCTGCTCCTGCAGAAGAGAACTCCAGGCAGCACCAATACCTACTCTTAACTCGGGCCTTTCCCTCTACAGGAGGAATAGTCAACAAATAATATGGGGACCACTTGTTTAGTATGTTTGGGTACTCGTTGGGTATGTTTTAGGGGTTCTTTATTTTTCGTCCAAGATCAGCCTGTAGGAAGGAGGCAATGCCCGACCTAAATCCACTCCCGCTACTCTCCGTTCCATATCATTCCATCCTCCCACGGCCTCACGTGGGGAATAAGAAGGCTCCTCGACTGCATTGGAGATGGCGACGGCAGAAGCCGCGGCGACGGCAGCGGCGGCGATGGTAGCGGCGACGACGCCGACGGCGACGTCAGAGGCGACGACGACGGCGGCGACAGCGACGACGACGACGACGACGACGACGACGACGACGACGACGACGACGACGACGACGACGACGACGACGACGACGACGACGACGACTACAGCGGTGGCGGGATCGGCGACGGCGGCGGCGACTGCGGTTGCGACGGCGACGACGAGGAGGGCAGGTCAGGCCAGCCGGGGAGGTTGGCGCTGGGCTCCTTGCATGCACCCCTGCGGGTCCCATCGGCTTGGACGCCGCTCTCGAGAGATCGTCGACACCATGGGGTCCACCAGGAGGGTACGTCAGGACCACAGCCAGCCCGTTTGAGGCTGATAGGGGCGACGAGGAGGTTAGCGGCGGCGGCGGCGGCGGACACGTCGACGAAAACGCCGCCGCCGCAGCCTCCGCCGCCAGCGCCGCCGCCGCCGCCGGCGACGACGACTACGACAGCAGCGGCGGCGACGACGGCGACGGCGACGACGCCGACGAGTGTGGTGGCAGCGGCGACGATGACAGCGACGCGCCCAAGAAATCTCGACCTTGCCTGGGGGGCAGGTTGTCGTCCCGCATCCATGTGTGATGGTCTTGGAGCACGAAAGTGCTCCCTGGAGGCATGATTTTCGAAACAGATCGGTCGATCCTCGATCGATCGTCCATCGATTCTCGATCGATCGGCGACGAGGACTTTGCGACCGACGGCGACTCGGAAGCCGGGCAAGGGCTGCTAAATCCATGGCTGCTAAAATCGACCTCTGGAAGTTGTCTTCGTTCTTCCGGGAAGAAGCCCGTTGATTGTTTCGCGTGCCGCGCCTCATTCCGGGAAGTTGTTTTTTCCTTCCGGGAGGGCCGTTTTAGCAGCCACGGTTCTAGCAGCCTTCGACCAGCTTTCGAGCGACGAGGGCGACGGCGTTTGCGACGGCGAACAGAGTCTGTCAAGCCGCGTCATCGGACCCCTCCCGTGGCCCGCCCTGGCCAGTTTCCCGAGCTGCAAGCCACGCCGACGAGAGCCTCCAGGAGCGGCCCAGGAGCGTTCGACGAAGACTAGCGAGGACGACAACGGTGCACCGCCAGCTTCGATGCTCGTTTGGGGGGACCCTTCCTGGGGCCCAGCTGATGGATCCGTTCGACTCAGGTTCGACTCAGGTTCGAGTCAGGTTCGGACCCCATTTGAGAGGCCTCCATCCTTACGCACAGTTCCTCGAGAGGCCCGCAGGGCCTCAGGGCACGGCTCCGAGGCGGTGGATGTGGAGACGCGACGGCAGCAGGGCAGGCAGGGAGGGCGGGCGGGAGGGCAGGTGGGAGCTGGAGGCAGGGAGGGCAGGCGGGGCCGGGCAGGAGGGCGGACTCTGGCGGAGGCGGGAGGGCTGGAGGGCACGACTCCGAGGAGGCGGACCGGGGGGTGAGGGGACTCTGGCGGCGGAGACGGCAGGAGCTGCCTCGCGGCGGCGGGGACGCCGAAGCTCTTCGCCGCCAACGTCACGGCGGACGACCCCGCGGAGAGCGCGGCCCGGGCCCGGCTCGTGCTGCGGGAGTTCGGCCCCCTGGAGCTCGTGTTTTCTGTTGGCTTCCTCGGCGCAGCCTCGGGAGGCAGATACAGGGGAGGCCCATGCCAAGAAGCTCCCTGCTTGCCTCCAGGGTGCCCTGGGTTTCTTGGGTTCCGAAGGTGCTGCGATGGAAAGCGTGACGTTCCCACACCAAAAATCTATGGAAGTCTTTGGGTCTCAGGGTTGGGTTTCTTGTGGAAGGTTTCTTGTGGTCGGGCCCCTACTGCAGTCGGAAACTGGAACATATACCTTACCAGTGGCGGGCTGCAGTTCAATCCCAAGACTCTTTTGAGGGTCGGGGACGGCGTCGAGGTGGTGTTGTGTATTGTATACTTGTTTTGTCCGTTTCCAGGGGAAGCAACAACAATTATATACACCAGGGTCCCGTATACACCAGGATCCGGTTTCCTGTGCAAATTTCATTGCAGGGCCAGAAACAGAGTCGGTGTATATTTAGTTCGGCTCCTTAGCTAGGGAGGAGGAGGAGGAGGAGGAGGAGGAGGAGGAGGGGAACGTTTCTTCGAGTCGGTGGCGAGCCTGGGGGGGAAGTGAGAAGGGGCGGGCTCTCCCAGAATGCTCGGAAGCCCTCCGTCCTTCTGAGAAGTTATCGGAGCCTTCCCCGAAGGCACAGGACATTTCTAAGAAGGCCAGAGGGTTCTGAGAGGCCCCGCCGCCTTCCGAGAAGGCCTTCTCCCTCTCACCTCACCCCCAGGCGCGCCGCCGACCTAGATTTCCTGCAGGTCAGCGACCAGAGAGAAGAGGGTCCATGAGAGGGTGGGAGAGGCAGAATCGCAAGCAGCGGCAACGGACTCGATCCTGACGAGGCGACGGGTGGCGTCCGTCTGGCCGCTGCCTCGGCAGCGTCCGCTGCCTCAGCCTCTGCCTCCGTGGTCTTTCCTTTGGCAGCCCCTGCCTCCCTGGCATCCGCTGCCCCTGTCGCGGTGGAACTCCCCGCGCCCGCACCTCGTCGGCATCGGCAGCCGCTGCCAAGGGTGGCCTCCTCTGCCGCCGCCTCCGCCTCGGGGACCTTCAGCTGAGACGGCCCCTGCCGCGGTGGCATTCACTGCCTGGGCGCTGGCTGGGAGGAGGAGGAGGAGGAGGAGGAGGAGGAGGAGGAGGAGGAGGAGGAGGAGGACGTAGGAGGAGGAGGTAGGAGGAGGTAGGAGGAGGAGGAGGAGGAGGTAGGAGAAGGGATGAGGAGGAGAAGGAGGAGGAGGAGGAGGAGTCGACCTCCGCCTCCCTGCGCCGTGGGCGTCCGCGCGGTGCTCCCGGGCGCACTCGCCGCCGTCGGCCTCCGCTTCCGGCGCTCCGCCGCGGCAGCCGCTGGCGCTCGGCCTCCGCTCCGCGCCAGCGGCGCGCTCGACCTGCGCCCTGCTCTCGGCCGCGGCCCGGCGCCGTGCCTCCGCGAGGGCCCCTCGAGGCACGCTCGGCCCGCGCACCCCGCTCGGCCTCCGCTGCGGCATCCTTGCCGGCAGTCCCTGCCCCCTCCCGCCCCCCCCCTCATCCCCCGGATCTCGGAGGAGGGAAAGGCAGGCCCACACGGGTGCCCTTCGCTCGCTTTGCCTCTTGTTCGGCCTCCTGGGAGGTCTTTGTCGCCACCACTGGCTGCGTCTGGAAGTCCTTGTCACAACGCACCCCAGGAGAGGTGCTGGGAGTGGCGGTGTTGGTACCGATTGGTTCCCCCACTCTCCCTCAAGCGTTGCACCCAACTCGGGACGGTCGAAATGGGTACGGAAAGAATGGGTACAATGCCCAGCAGCCGTTCCACTTCATTTTGAACTGGACTCGCTGTCCGCGCCGCCGCGGACGTTGTTCACTGAAGACAGAAGGCCGCCTGCCCAACAGCGGCCGCTGTCGGTTTTGGACAACGCTTGTTGTTGGGCATCGTACCGATTTTTTCCGTACCCATTTCGGGCGTTCGCATTGACGGCAGGCCGCGGCCGCCAGCAGGGGTGGGCGACGGGGTCGTCGCCGCCGCCGCCGTCGCTGTGGCAATGCCTTGTCCGCCGCAGCCATCTTTTGTGCACGTCGTCCTTATCGTCGTCGTCTTCGTCGTCGTCATCCTCGTCGTCGTCGTCGTCGTCGTTCTCGGCGCCGCCGTCGTCCGTCGTCGTCGTCAATCGTCGTCGCCGGTGCCGTCTTCGGTATCGCCGTTCGTGGCCGTTCGCCGTCAACGTCGCCCTTTTAAACGCCGCTCACTCGTCGGCCTCGCCGCCGCTCGCTCGTCGCCTTGGCCGTCGTAGCTGTTCGCCGTCGCTCCTCGCTCGCCGTCGTCACTCGCTCTCGCCGAGGCCGCAGCCCGCGCGTCGCCGTCACTGCCCCTCCTCTTCAGCGCACGATGCCCTTCCAGGCTCTCCGTGCGTGCTGCGCGGTTCGAGGCCGCCCCACGGGGCGGATGCTTGGCCGTCCGTTCCGCTCCGCTCCGCTCCTCACCGTCGTATCCTTCGTCGCCGGTCGTCGCTCCGGCGCTCGCTCGTCTGCCGTCGCTCGCTCGTCCGCCGCCCCCGCCGCTCTCGAGGCTCCTAACTGTGCGCTGCTGGTGGACTGCGCGCCGGAGGGCCTGCCGGTGCTGGCCGCGCTGCGGCGCGGCTTCCCCGGGCAGCCGCTGCACGCGCTGCTTCCCCGGGCGGGGTCCAGCAGGCCCAGCGCGGAGTTGTTGCCGTCGTCGCCGCCGTCAGATGGAGAACCGCGACGACGACGACGCCGCAGCCGACGACGACGACGACGACGCCGACGACGGCGACGACGACGACGCCGCCGACGCCTACGATGGCGACGACGCCGACGCCGCAGAGGATGGCGACTGTTCGAGGGGCCTGGGGAGGCCGTCACGTGTGACATCTCGTGTCTCCAGTCTTGGGAGAGCCGTGATGAGGATGATAAGGATTATAAGCATGATGATGATGATGATGATGATGATGATGATGATGATGATGATGATGATGATGATGATGGTGATGGTGATGATGATGATGACGATGATGATGATGATGGTGATGATGATGTTGATGCTGATGTTGATGATGGTGATGATGATGTTGATGCTGTTGCTGTTGCTGATGCTGATGCTAATGCTGATGTCATGCTGATGCTGATGCTGATGCTGATGACGATGCTGACGATGATGGTGATGCTGATGATGATGATTATGAGGATGCTGGTGCTGGTGCTCATGCTGATGCTGATGGTGGTGGTCGTGGTGCTGATGTTGATGAGGATGGTGATGACGATGACGATGACGACGACGACGACGATATCGATCACGATGAAGTTGCGCATGAGAATAAGGATGGAATGAGGACGAGGGGATGATGATGCTGATGATGACTATGAGGGTGAGGATGAGGATGATGCTGATGGTGATGGTGACGGTGATGGTGGTGGTGGTGATGCTGTTTCTGCTGCTGATGATGATGACGATGACGATGGCGATGCTTATGATGCTGATGATAATGATGATCATGGTGATTGGTGTGATTATGATGATTATGTTGATGACGATAAGGATGCTTTTGATGATATTGATGCTGGCGGTGGTGATGATGATGAAGGTGATGGTGATGGTGGTGGTGAAAGTGACGCTGATGCTAATGATGATGATGATGATGATGATGATGATGATGACGGTGATGATGCTGATGCTGCTGATGATGACGATGACGACGCCGACGATGACGATGACTATGAAGTTGCGTATGGGGATGAGGATGCGGATGAGGACGAGGATGGGCTGAGTATGAGGACATGATGAGGACGGTGATGTTGATGATTTGGATGAGGATGAGGATGACGAGGATGAGGATCATGATGGTGATGGTGTTGGTGATGCTGATGAGGCTTATGGTGATAATGTCGATGATGATGATGGTGATGATCGTAAATGATGACGATGATAATGCTTTATGGTCATGATGATGGTAATGATGATGATGATGATGGTGATTGGTGTGGTGATACCGATGATGATGATTATGATGACGACGATGATGATGATGTTGATGATGGGGATGAGTTTGCTGATGTTGATGATGATTATGATGGTGATGTTGATAGTGGCTGTTATGATGATCGTGATGATGATGGCGATGGACATGGTGATGGTGGTGTTGAGAACGACGATGATGCTCATGATGCTGAGTATGATGATGATGATGATGATTATGATGGTACTGATGATGGTGATGTTGATGATGATAGATGATGCTGATGATGCTGATGATGCTGCTTACGATTGATGATGATGATGATGATGATGATGATGATGATGACGGTGTTGATGCTGACGACGACGACGATGATGATGAGGGTGTTGATGCTGATGCTGATGCTGCTGCTGATGATGCGGATTCTGATTATGATGATGCTGATGCTGATGATGATGATGATGCTGATGCTGCTGATGATGATCATGATCATGATGATGCTGATGCTGATGCTGATGATGATGATGATGATGCTGCTGCTGATGATGATGATGATGATAATAATG